TCTTCTTTTCCCCCCCTTTTTTTTTTCGTTGACTGCACGACAAACAATCTCTTTTCCCTTTGTGTCATGCATAGTTACAGTTAAGGACCGCCGACAATCTCATTAGCCAATCGGCAAACCGGACACAGTCTCATCGTCGAGACGACGAGAGCAGACTTCGGGGCTAACGGTGTTACGGAGGGTAAGCCAGGACAAACAGGCAAGAGCCTCGCAACCGCTAATCAATATGGAGGTCCCGACTTTCGCAATCGCGGTTTACCTTCTCGTGCTCCCTTGTTCGCCGTTAAACGGGCTTTAGCGCGGCGATGCGACGCATCGTCTCGCTAGTTTCTGATCCTTCTAATTAGCATCCTTCAGACAGAAGGAACGCAACATCTGACAATCTCCGTGCCGGTGGTACATCGCGTGAGATCCGTCGCGGAACGATCCTCGGCTTCTGTATACCGTGAGTTCGCGCGACTGCTCGAATTGTCACTCGTCCGGAATGACGTTCGCGAATTCCCGTCGCTGCGCGGAGATCGATAGCAAGACGTATGGATTTCCGAAGTACACCTGAAAACTTACTTACAGCGCGTATATAGTTTTCGCTTTAGCAACGGGAGCAATACATCTTATCGGCCGACATAAGACAGCGGACGCGGGGAGACGAGAGACGAGCGGAGGTAAAAACGCGGAAGACTTTCGAAGAGTTACCTCTGTCGTGGAGGCGAGAGAGGTTTCCTCCCTTCTCCCTTCCCTTCCCCCTCCTCTTCTCACTGCCCGCTTAGTTAGTGAAATGCAATCTCTCTCATTGTCCCGGTAATGAGACGAAACGATAAAGTGGCACACTTTGAAAGTTTATCGGCGCTCGAAGGCTAAGCACCACGCTCCGTCGTGCATCCCGGACATAAGCAGGTCCTCTCGGGGGCGTTAGGGGATGCGGGAATCGTAGGGGTGGGCACGGGATTGGACGCGGCCATTATGAAAACCTAGCCGGATCCTTTTAAGCGACGCTATTTTCTCGGGAGAAGTAGACAGCCCGAAATAGAAGAAAGCGGGCCCCGCGTCTCATTCCTCTCCTCTTCTCTTCCCCCTTATACCCCTCTCTTCTCCTCAGCCGGCTCACTTTCTCGCCAATTCTCGCCCGCTCTCTTTTCCAACGAATAACCCGGCGATAAGACGTCGAGCCATTAAAAACTTTAACGCTCGGCCGACTTGTTATCCGAGATTGCGTGAACACCGTTAGTTGGCAAAAATGGCGGCCGACCTTCTCGATTAAATGTCTCGACTAATTTGAAATTGCGGTAAAATTTAGCGTTGCGGCGAGTCGAACTGTCGGGTCTATAAATAGTCGTATCGGTCAGCAGTAATCGGTCAAGTACCTTTGACGAGAACGTACGGAACTGCGTCTCCACAGAAGCGACTCGCAAAGCTGAAAAATCCTCAGCGCGGAAAAGCCGTGGTCTTTCAAAGGGAATGTATACAAGCGTGAAAAATATCTGCACTGGTATTCCCTGCAGAAATCATACGGTATGGTTTTCCTATGATATTCGAAATGCGCTTTCGTTCGAAATATACGAGCTTCTATACCGCCGCTATTAGTTTTGTCCCATGTTATAACGCGAATCTACTTTTTAAACCATGAACCATTGTTTTGAGTACACAACTTTTTGCTGAAACCACGGGTAAATACATTAAAATGTTACAACAAATGCAATCAAAACGTACACATCTTTATTTATTAAACAAGCTATCATCGATCGTTTTGATTGTGTGCAATTATTAAAATGTTCTCGTTTTTCGGTTTTGTAATACAAATATTGTGATTTAATTTTATCGATTTTACATGAGGATTAACACGAGTCATTTGCAAAACATGCATGTTTTACGTAGTCGGATGTTAATATCTCTGTAAAGTGGAAACAGCTTCCGCTTTCGTGCTGAGGAATCCCCATGGGACGTGTGTAATAATGTACTCGTCATTCTGCTTCAATTTTAACCACATGTGTCGGCGAAGTAATCAGAGAAGATAAATTCGCCGGGTGTATTTCAGAATTACTGTGGGCCATCTCGTACAGTTGAAATTCGCGCAGGCAGTATACCAGCGACGTTTTGCAAAGTAGTTGTCGTAAACAAACAAATAAATTTCACTATTTTTTTTCCCCTCTTTCGCCGATAAATCCAACCGCGGCGAAGATACATTGCTTTCAACTTTTTATCCGGCTGTCGTAGTTTTCTCTACAATGCTGTTGGCAATAAAAGAGCTTAGACGAGGAAGGCGTGGCACTGCCATGATTCGCGAAGGGCTTGTCGATGCGAAAGTTACAAGGAAGTCGAAGAATGCTCACTAACAATCGCTTGTCCCGTAGTTAGTATTATTGTCATCGACACGCGGAGCCCCGTTGGCCTGTCAATTTCAGCAGTGTACCGCAGCTCCCGCTGGTAACAGGTGGCCGAATGTAAGCGGCGTCGATCAAATCGCGGAAGATCGTAACGCAGCTTACTGCAACATCGCCTGCACGCGTTGACGACGTAAGTGATTAAGGGATTATCAACTTGCCGCCGTTAGCGGTGGATTCGCGTAAAACTCCTTCGTACGACTTGTTTTGATAATTGAATGCATTTCCTGAAGAGTTTCGGCGTACGCGGCGCAAACTATAAAGCAGTGCTTCACGAAGCGCGGTTCTTAGTTAATGGCGGCACAGTTTAATTGGCCAATATATTTAGCGAAACATTATGTAACTTAGGCGAAGTGTCTACAGCTTAGTGGTTAGACAATACTCCCTCACGTTCTGCTATACCTATAACGAACTGCGAGAGTACACGCGAATCTCGAGGTAAAGTTCCGGGAATGTACATAAGACTCGTCTAATTTTATTTTGCGAAAGTTTCTCGCGATATCGTCCGCTATTGCATATTCACTAATCCAGACGTAAAACTTCTACGTCTTGCTCAATCCCACCCGATTAACCTGCCCGCGATAATATTAAATTTCCGAGAATGATTTCTTATATTAAGAAACGTGTTATTTTTTAAACCAAACGCAACTTTTACTGCTGCTGCATCAAGTTTATACGAGTACATTGATTTTATGTTGTACAGTTTCTGAAATGTTTGGAAAATATGTAGTATCCGTGTGAAATGTTTGGTGAAATTTAGTCAAATATTTTAGGAAAAATATCAAGTTTACGCGCACTGTTATTTACAGCAGAATGCAGTAAACTATTTTATCGCTTTATCGCTCGCGGAAATAATTCTCACATTATTATTATCCGGTTGAACAATCGCGGACGCACGAAGTTTTACGCGCTGGTTACAGTTCCGCGGAGTTTCACGGGACTATTTCACGTTCGGTCGTATCAATCACGTAAATAGCGAAGCAAAGCGAGTGTCCATCGGCACTCGCAGCTTTGAAACGGAATTACGTAGACGGACACCTCGGGCGAGAGAACTGCACGCGAGCTGGCGAAGCATAAGCGAAAAGCCTGCAAGGCGAGAGAGAGAGAGAGAGAGAGAGTGAGAGAGCCCGGTCCGGTGTAACCCAAAGGCCAGGACACCTAGTACATCGAGGTCAGAACTGTTTCGAACTGTGGTCCCGTAACACTGCTGAGACACGCTCGGCGGGTAACGTTGTTAGTCGCGAACGGTTCAAACTAGTTTATAATACTAGCGAGACAGTGAGCGGGACAGTGAGAAGCGGTCACGGAGGTGGAACCGGACGGCGTCCCGACGTCCCGTAGTGCAAGCATAGTTCGCAGGTAACACTGATGAACGACAGACTGGTCCCGAGAAACCGAGTGGAGGAAGGCGATTCTACGCCCGTAAGACCGGACAATAAATAATGGACGCGGTGTGCTCCTTTGGTCCTGCACTTGAACGGGATGCACGCGAGTCTGATAAAGCTGCTAGTTTGTACAGCTGCTTGTCGTATCAATGACGTTAAAATCTCTCGCAATTACGGACTCTTAATTGTATTAGTTTGCGAGAAAAAACGACACGTTTCTAGAGAATTTTGCGAAAAATACTGCGAACAACGTATAATCGTTTAATCGCAGCTCGTTAATTTCTCTTCAGATGCAAATTATGTTTGCAGATTGAAATAGACGCTTATACAAATTCAATATCGCTTCTGACAAGCCGATGATTGAACTCGTCACCGCGAGAAAGAAACTCTGCCGTCGTTAAAAATGATAATCTTCCGTCAAACGTTGGATAATATCTTTGTCGCGTTTCTGCACGTCGATAAACGTTCGATAAGTAGATACATAGCGGAACGGTAATTATCAGGTCCGATTCTCATCGAAGCGCGCCAGCCGTTCTTTGTCAAATGCAACCGTGACAATGGCAGAATTACGTCTGCGAGGTGCCGACCGATAATCCACCTCTGGCGTTCGTCACTCGAGCAATTCGCGTCGTAGTTGGCGCGCGCGATAAAGCCGGTAACGTCTTTAAGTGGAAACGTTCGTTCAACGTCAGACGGGCCGCGCGGCGGCGGCGCTCCCGGCGGCGTAGCGGGGCGTAAGAGGGTGAATAATCATTTCCCGTCGTAACAAGGGAGATCGAGTCGTAACCGCCTTTACTTCGCACCTTACCTGCGCGCCACGTTTCCACCCTCCGGTTAAGAGATTGTGATTCCATTCTGTAGGAAGCCTTTCGACCACCTCCCGCCCGACCATCTTTCCTCTTTCGTCCGCCCGGGCGCACTCCACCCCTTGGCGCGTACTCTTATGACGCACTTAACTACCCCGTCGGGGTCTGTTTTATGAGCACGATGCCGATCCCGTGCGATAAATTTGCCGGCAGTTCGTCACCCGGCTAATTTTTACGAACCGTTTCTTAACAAATTGCCATCGCGATAATCGCATATGCCGACTCGACACGCGACGTTATCGAGAATAATCAATCTGAGTTTCCAACAAAAACTACAACAACAAGAGTAATATAATTTTATGATTAATACAATAATATTTCAATAATAATGCAATAGAGAAAATAATTTTCCTTTGATTCTCTGTTTTTAGATGAGGTAAGACCATTCCAGCGACTAACGTAAGTAATGTGATTCTAATTATATTGTATATAAGGCACATAAATATAGTGAATAAGTACGTGTTCTTCGTGGTTCATAAAATGAGAGACATAGTCGTTCGTGTCATCGGAGATTATCTTCTCGTTCAGCGATATTATCTCGTTAAATTCTGTCAGATACATCATTATGACCCTGTCGTTTCGCTTCTCTCATCTTATTTTACATTGTAAACAGACATGCAGTATTAACAGAAATCTCTGATATTATACATCCTCACACAAATATGAAATTGCTCTCGTATATTTACCCCACTATCAGAACACGTGCGCGTATTTGCATCATTAAAACTTTCAATTTGATTCGTTTACTGTGATAGTTACCTAGTATTTACTTTCGTGATATTTTAAGGTCCTTTTATGCGCAAATATGGAGAAAACTCGCTGCATTCATGCGCGCAATGCGGTTTAATTCACACACATAAAAATTGAAAATACGGCAGTAAAACTCTTCTACTTTAGATATTATATTACTTCCACGGGAACATTTTAATATCAAATATTAAATGCATATACTGCGGACCCGAACGGTAAAATATAATATTTCGGACAAATTTGTTACGAGCCGCTTGTGTATTGCGGAAGAGAAACGGGATTAAAATTTGGGAAAGGTCGACCCTCGCGGAATCGGCTAAGGAGAGAACCTGGGAACAAGAGTAAATGTTTGCTGTCTGCGAAACGAAATGGCGTCCTTCGCAGCGGCTGAACAAATACGAATGTCGTTAAAGGGAAGGATGACCGTTTTTGTGTCCGCATTGGCACGGCTACTACATTCTTTAACTACAAATTCTTTTTGCGCAATTGAATATGTAATAGCGGATTGTTCTAATAATTTGATAAAATAATATGATCTAATAATTTTATAAAATATTAAATTTGCGGACAAAACTTGATACTGAAACTACCGATACTTTTATAAAAAAACTGATAAATTTTATATACATAAATTATATTTTAGACAGTTTTTATCGGTTTCATTGGTTTTATGTAAAAAAAAAAAAAAAATTCCGATTATGCCGGATAAAAGTTTAAATGCTCTATGAGTAGGAATTATTAGTTTGTTCTACTTTCTAATAATAACTATAGTTATCACACGCGTGACATATGGACGTAGTTGATATCCACGGTATGGTCTGACTCGACATTCGACATTTACCGTCTGCAACGAATAGTATAACTGAATTCCATTAGGACGACCCGGCGCCTTCTCGCACGGCGGGAAGATCGCGGAAGATCGATACGCAGTCGTTAGTCTTCGCAGACTCGTGAGACCAGTTGTAAAGACCTGTCCCCTCGTAGATTAGTCGATTTGTAAGGTTGAATCGCCGCTGTCGTGAAAATTATCTAGACGTTTCAAGATTACTAGAAGATTGGATCAATTATTTGATTATTAGACGCTTAATTCTTCGAGAAATCGGACAGCGGTTTTGGATTTCATTACGGCGACATGTTTCAGACAGAGAGATTAGGCGTGTCTCACGGAAATGATGTAATGCCGATGTTCGGGCATATAATTCAGTTCGACGAGTACATTGCAGTTGAACTGTGTCTCCTCGGACTGGATGCTTGCCGGTCTAAACCGATCAACGGCCATATTAACGAACGCATCGGGGCTCATAAATCATAACGGCGTGTAGTTGTAGCCAATCGCATTGCCCGTTTAGGTGCTAGGAGCCAATCGGAGACGCGGCTGAACGGACGCGAGCGTCGAACGAATCCCACGCCCCGGAAATTACGTGTCCGACTCTAAACTCTGATGATTGATGAGCCGGCTATACGTGGAAATAGTGCGGGGCCGGTCCTCTCCTGCTTACTACGACTTCCTCGCAGTTTCAAACCCTGACGACCCTCTCCGCGCCTCTACCACTTATTCACCATCTTTCCACTTCGCTATTTCGTTTTCCCGCACTTCGCTCCGGCGCCAACTTTATCACCGTCAGCTGAACAAATCTGCGAGATACCTAATTGTTACCGGTCCGCGCTGGAAAGTACGCTTGAAGTTTCCGTTTTATTATTTACGCCGGAGGGAACGTCTAAATTACGTAGAGATTCTATTAAATGAAAACTTATTTCTATGATTTAGCGACGCGCTAGAATATGCAGCTGACGCTCTCCTCGAATTTTTCTCTCGACGTGCTCACCTTCCACATATGTCTTTTCTAAAGTCCCGAAGACATTTTTCGCGCGCAAGGAAGAATAATATTCGGGTCGTGCGTGTGTCCGCGCGATATTAGAAATTACATCGGGGCGCGGGGAGATGTAAATTTCTCCGGTTCATGCGATTAATGCCGCTTATTTCCCATTCCGTCAAAACAGTTTCCTTCAAGTCATACATCTCGCCCGCTTTTGAAACGGTAGAATGAATAGCCTTCGGGGACGGGAACGCATTCCACGCTGTCATACCGAACTGCCACGGAAGTGTTTTCCCAAAGATCAGTATTCCCGTTCTTCGCCGCATCGTTTCCGATTGTCAGAAGTTCGTCCTTCGGGCAAACACTCGCGGCAATCCAGCAGTCGTAACACGCGAGGTGGGTTCGGGCAAAGGGCAGAAATTTTCGTAAATGCGTTCTCCGTTTTCAGCCTCCGGGTTCATCGGCGCGTGGCTCACAAAATTTGCATCCCCGAGAAGACGGAAATTTGATTCGCACCGAAAACCCGAATGCGTCACGTTCCGCGAGGAAAAAACATCCGAAAGAACGACGCATCGCCCGGAAACATGAATTCCGGCGATGCTGGCGTCGACGCGAGGTTATTAAATCCGTATATTTTTTCAATTCGCGCGCGGTGCGATGTGCGATGTAAACAGAGAAGCGAGTTATTGAAATCCAGGGCCAACGAGAGAGCGTGCGCGATTGGCCGCGCGCTGCGCTCGCACTTAATGCTCACTGATTTCGCGAAATAATTTTTCTCCGTGTCGCTCCGGAAATTTCTGCGCCGAGAGAAAGAGAAAGAGAGAGCCGGGACAGTGCGAGTGGGACCAACGTTCGTTTTATAACGCTAATTGCGGCTGTCACAAAGTTGCCACCGGATTTGCATACTATTGCTTTCGAAATTAGACGACCGCGCGCGTAGTTGCCGCCCGCGCTTCGCTCGCAAAAGTATTCCGCGGACGCGGAGAAGCGAATGAACTCGTTCAATTCGCCGCGACATAGATCCGCCAATTTGCGCGCGGCGTTTCCTTGCACCACCACCACCGGCGTCGTCATTACTAGCACCACGGCGATCGCCATCACCAACACGCGGCGCGAACGTGTCGCGAGATCACCGAGCTAAACCGGATAGAAAACGAAATTATGTCGGCGATCGATCGATGTGCTATCGCTTCTAACCGGGACTTATTTACGTGCCGATGGATTTCCCAGCGGGTATACGAAATATACCGCAAGATCCCGCCGTCGAAGAGTTGTTTATATTCGCGTCGAGTTCACGGCGTATTTCGCGGATCAACAAATGCACAACTCTGCCATTTCTTCGTGGCGGTGCAAATAGAGCGCGCGATCGATTGACATTCGTGTAATCCAATTCTGAGATGCAAATTTTTATGTTTCACAAATGTCAATATTTGAGCATTAATATTTTATTTTCATTAATATTTGACAATTGATTGGCTGCATAGTGCACAACACGTTTAGGATCTTGATATTTCTATTTATCTTTTCGATAGAAAGATAATATTTCTATGACCGAATATTTTGCTTCGACTAAATCCGTTATTTTTGTACTTTTTTTATTCGCACGAGAAACAGCATAAAACCCATTATGCCGATATTATCTGCCTCTGCTCCTTTGCCGCGCGGCTCACAACCTCGTCTCCATTTTCTCCTTAGTTTAGTTTTAGTTATTTTTCATTTACCCGGCTGTGTGCGTCATGTCCCGCGCGCAAACGTGCAGATTGCGTTTGGCGAGATCAAAGCAGCCGGAAAACAAGGCCACTCTCAACGCGCTTTCCAAAGAAGCCTGCGCGAAGGCTTCAGTCAAGAGTATCAGAGTACAACGAGACGAGTAGACTGTATCTGGCGGCCGAAAAATAAAATAGCGCGAGACAGTTGCCGCGTTATAAACTCCGACGTTGGACTGCTATCATGACGATAATATGCCGTTTCAAGACTGTCTCTTGGGACGGCGATCCCAGAGGGAGCGTGTTGCATTACACGCGCCTGAGTTCAACATACCTGGCAAACTAAAGGCGGATCCCCTTTACGTATCGTTATGTTCCCCACAGAGAGAGTAGAAGGCAGTTGTTGTCATCGCATCGGCGTGCATGGACCTAGAAAAAGTATATAAAATTTCTACGTAATGTCGTTGATCGAATAACAAGAAAAAAATAATCGTTTTCTAATTGAAGACCGTGCGCGAGCAAGGAATTGTATTTTTTTAAACACATTTGTAATCTATTTTACGGCACACATATATATTCAAACATACATTTTCACATTTTGCAGTAATGAACATTTTATGTTAATTAATTTCATAATAATTAATTAGAAAAGATTATTTTGTGTTAAATATTACGAAAATTACTTACGTCATTATCATTCTTTTTATATATGAAAATAATTATGTCAACATGCATGCAAAATAATATTTCCGCGATATTCATATGCTCGTTATATTTTATATATACATATTTTTTTTTTTTTTTTTAATAAATCGTTTATAAATATTGTTACTTAATATTTTAAAGTTCTTTAGCTATTGCGAAAATGTGATAGTTTTGAATATGTAGATTGCAGTATCTTTAACCAAGCTGATGTGATATAGAATAATCTTTGTATGCAGGGTCTTCAATTATTTATCTGATAGAGACTATAAGACGATAACTTAGATATTCTACACGTAGACTATGCGTACAGTACTAAACTTGGTCCGATGTAACGAGCTAGCATGGATCGTGCTAACGAGCTCAGGACTTCCCTCGCGAAAGTCCCAGAAGCGCGATAAATTCGACTGATACAGATCACATCTCCGAACGCGGAAAATCAACAGAAATAAACTCTCAGTATAGTCGCAGATGGTATAGTCGCATATGTTAAACGAGGGACAATAATGGAAAGTTATCTTCACAACTACGAACACATTCAATGTATAATATTCACCGCTGGCCGACGCTTATCAATTACACCGGTGTGTCTCGGTGTATTAGGTTGCGGCCAAGCAGTTCCGCTACAGTAGCGTGATCGGTATTTTTCCTTACAACGCCTATTTACAAAGGTACTTTCTCGAACTTCAAAATAACAGTGGGGAAACGTACGTGTCGGGGCTCGGCGCTCACGTGACTCCGCGCACTTATACGCGTTCGAGCAGTCGTTTCGCTCCTCCGTTCACGGAAAATCCGTGTAAGCCGCATTAGAGAAATTATCTCTCTGCCAGATTTTGATGACTTCATGAGTTATAAGAGGCACGGGGGGAGGATAAGGGTGAGGCGTCGGAGAGGATTTTTGAGGATGTGGTCGGGTATAACGGGAGAAAAGACGAGCTGCTAGAAAAATGGTACGCCGTTCGCAAGGATATCGAAGCGAGAGCCAGCTAGGAGCCGAGATGAAGCTGGGACGAAGTGAAAGAAGACTGGGGGGAAAGAGGAGGGGGGAGATGGTGAGTGGGAAAGCTTGAGGGACCTCGCGCACTCGAAATGATTGAAAGACCGAGGAAATTGAATTCTCGCATTCGATCGTGCCGCCTCGGGTCTTCTAATTGAACGACTCGTCTCCTTTGGCTGTCTCTATCACTCTTTCTTCTTTCAGTATCTGTCCGCTCGCCATTCCTGCTTGCTGTCATTTTGTTCCCAGTCATTTAAGCAACTCTTCTTTCGCTACTCTGACTCCAGTCCCATCCAATAATTCGCTTATCATTGGTATTTAACTAGGAGTCGAATCAATTTTGACTGTAAGATTACATTCTGACGAAATTGCCACTTTAAAGAAGGGATAATAAATTATTCATTATGTGAAACAACTTTTTTATCGTAAATATTTTTTCTTATTTAACGCTATTTGTGTTGGGGATTTTTATACATATCTGAATTAAAAATTAAAAAAAACCGACACACGCAACAAAAGTTTTAATTAAGCTCGGTGCTTTTAATCCCGATTGAAATGCATTGCGTTATTGTTCAAATTTCACATTTAACATCTCTGTGATTGTCACCGCATTCTACTGTCGTGTCTAAGTATCGCGATACGTCAGAAACGTACCGCTGAATTGATTGGCAGGCTGTTCGTCGCGCTGTCTGCATCTAAACAATAAATATACCTCGAGGAGACAGAGAACGATAGTGCGGCCGGCGCTTTTCGTTTTCGCGCGCGATATTCTGCGTTTCAACATCGTGAAATGGAAAACGGAATTCTGCGAGCGCGCGCTTTCCTATTCACAGGAGAGTCGTAAAGCAAACGCGCTGCCTCCGAATAAAACCGGCAGCCCTTATATTTTTCGCGTTGCGTTTCCCTCTCGACCACGTGCCGACGGAGCGTTTATCAAAAATTCATACGCGGACGAATCCGTGCCGATCTCGTCGATCAAAAAGAGATTGGCGTGACCGCGAGTTACGGTGGCAAGGTGTGCGAACTGTACGTAGACAGATAGACGGATAACCGCCTGCGAACCGCCTTTTGTACCCGCGCGCACGTCGCACCTGCAAACGCGACGTTTACCCCCGTTAGATACCGGAAAATATCGTCCGAAAACTAGCGAGACCGGGGCACGTTGCTCGTGCGGACAGGCGAGGCATACAGTTTGCGACGGAAAAATGAAAATTTCTGCCTCTTCCGGCATAAATTCACTTGGCCATTTGGCGCGCTGTACGATCCATTTTCATTTTTATGCACGCCGGGATGAGAGGGCGAGCGAGCGAACGCCAGGTGAGGGAAGCGGTGACAGGGGAAAAGCTCAGATAGTGGTATACCGGGACGAGCGAGAGACGAACGGTGAGAGAAAGAGGGAGAGAGGGAGAGAGGAAGAGGAGGAGGAGGAGGAAGAGGAGGAGGGCGAACCAATGCGACGAAGAGAGGAAGAGGGAGACGGTGGAGCGACAGAGATGTAGCTTGGTCCGGTCCGCGGCCCGGTTAATAAATACCAACGGTATGCAAATAAAGTCAATCGTTCGATCGTTTGAATTTTAATTCGTCGAAATGCGAAATTAAATTTGGTAGCTGCAGCTACGAGCTGCGCGCGTACGTTTCGTGCTGTTGCGCGTCCAATGCCGATAAATCGAACGTTACGTCCGCAGGATATTACTGTTGGAGTGCTCGAATGCCAGAGGGAACGGCCAGGAGAATTATTAATCGGCTATGGACTTCTCCATTGCGGCTTATCCTCCTCTCCTGTCCCCTACCGTGTCTCGCATCGTGTGTATCGCGTATAGCGCTTTTAACAATGAGTGTAGTGTGCTTCGTCCATGTTTCTCCTTGCCGATAACGAATGTTATACAAAATTTCGCGATATTCAACAAACGATAAACATAATTAACGATATAGAACGCAGGAATAATTTATTAATGATTCATTACGCTAATGAATCATATGGAAATGTCGAAGAAAATGAGAGATTCTCGAACGATAATTAATACATATGCGAAATATTTAATATTTTACACCGAGAGATATTATATGCTCGAAATATTTCATCTGCGTATAAAGGAAATCAGAAATCACATCGCTTGCTTTTCCCACGTTCCATTCGCTTTTACGGTATCAATGCCGACGTGATAAAGGATGACAGTGCGTAAGTGAGTCCTGCGGGAAGCTGCGGTGGCGCAAAACGGATAATTAGGTTGATCGTTAATACACCATTACCAGCGGGGCGCAGTCATTAATCGTCCAATTTTCTCTCCGGGGGCGCGTCTCTAATACTCACCGGCGCGAAGTGGACCCGCCGCGCGAGCGGCGAAGTGTATAAGGGGCATTGTTCACTTCCTGTTTTGAATATCGAATTTACGAGCGAAGTTGCAGCCTGCTCGCGCGAGTGAGCCACCCGCCGCGAAATTTACCTCCTGCCACTCGGTTTCCTCGCTTCTTTGACCCCTCGCCGTCTTATCCCCTTCGTCGCCTCGCCGCCGACGCGAGGTTCCAACTTGGACCGTAAAACTTTGCTCCGAACTCGTATCCGAAAGGCGAACCTTTCCCTTAAGCGTTCACGAGTACGGAAGAAGGGAGATGGAAGACTGAAGAGAGAGAAAAGGCGAAATGCCGTCAGAGCGTGTGCTCCGGAGTCGCTTCGAATTCTACGGTATCTCATTCTCGGAGCCATGGGGAAAATCGATCGATCGCGAGGTTCGAGTCGCGCGAATCGCAGAAGGTTACCTGCGGGAGACAGGATATACGTACAAGGGTGCGCAAACACCGACGGACCGCCAACGCTGTGCACACAAAAGATAGATGCCGTCGCGAAGGACCGAGGGATTGAACGACGTCTTCCTTTTCCTTGCCCAAGGCGTTCCTTTGCGAGCGTCTTCGTACGCCACGCGCGCTTTTATCAGAGAACGTCGAAGAGAGTGAAGGAGCGAGCGAGGAAGCGAGCGAGTGAGAAAGAGAGAGAGAGAGAGAGAGAGAACTTGAATAAGTCGATGGAGAGCAACGCGGAGGAGAGATGGAGAGGTTGGGAGCCGAAACCGCGTTTGAGACTCTCTCGGTCATGAAACGCCACCGAGCGTCCTCTTCGACGAGCTGCTCAAGTGGTGCCGACAAACGCGGCGAGCTTCTCTCCTACAGGTCAAAAATCGAAGGTTAAGGTACCGAACTCTTCTTCCCATTGGGGCGCCCTACCTTCTCCGCCCTTTTCCACTTGCGCTCCCGCAATCGGTTCACCTTGCGGAAAAGCGGTAGATGTCCGAGGTCGTCCGTGTTCTAAAACAAATTCTACCGTTTGCGACGCTCCGCCGCGTGGAGACTCCATTTCCAAATTACAATCCCAGCGTGGAGAATGCTCTCCGTTTATCGCGTACTTCGCAAATGTGACACGCGAGAGTCTTTCCTTATGCCGTCTCGTGCAATTCTATTCCGGTCGAAAAATCGCTTATATAAAAACGCCCACTTTTTCTCTTAAGAGATTATTTACACCGCGCGAGAATATTGGTGATGTTTTTTACCGACGGCATATTACATAATCTAAAGAGTATTTTAATGCAGTCTAAATATATCTTGAATAATTATAAAAACTATTGGTCATAATAGTCGAGTAATTATAACGAGCGAGTACGTATTCGCACTTGAAAATCAGCCAATAATGTCGACATGGGTGATATCTACTACGATAACATTGTGACGTTCGTGAGAA